TCATGTCACACTGCACACCTCCCAGTCTCCCCAACCGTTCCAGTTTCCATCAACTGTGCAACAAAATTACGCATCAGCGGTAAGAATTTATCAGCCCAAGAAGAACACACAAAACAAACCAACGAATCAACTGCTTTACATTTGGAAACGAATAGTAGTAAATTATCCGAAACCCATAACCAGGGGACAAAGAGAAACCTCTGAGTGCTCAAGAGAAAAAAATGGAATATATTATTTAATAACTCGCCATTTTTGAATTGAGAATCTTCAAACATAACAAACGAAGCATGATTCACTTCGTAACATGCATAGGGTATCGTATTTACCAGAACATTCCTATTCTTTGCACGGCCTTGACCGGATGCTATCTCCCTCACAGTCAGCTCCTCCAAACTCAGAGAAAGGATTGGTACATGACCGACGGGACAACTGAGTACCATCACCACATAATTTGGCACAAGCCTCCTAATCACTCCACCTCGTCCACCTTCCATCAACTGAGCAACCAATAACATTCCATGTTAGTGGTGGTTGTATTTATTGCTTTATGTTAACAATTAGATCACAACGATGGTGTATAAAAGGATTAAATCGTCGAAAGGTGATAGAAGTGAACTCCGAGAAAAAGAAAATTGCATGAACTTGTTAAAGGCAAATCAGGTGTGAAGAACTGAGAGAAGAACCTCCCTCAAACAGTCAAAAATAAATTATTTACTTGGACACCGTTGCTCGTTACAAGACCGCTCATTTTGACTCTCGCCACTGCAGTTTCGGCCACCAAATTGTGGCGGAGGATTGGTACAGGTCCGACTTCGAATCTGTGTTCCTCCACCGCACGACACACTGCATTGTCTCCAGTCCTCCCATCGGGCCCAGTTTCCATGAACTGCAGAATAGAATACCAGCCACTGTAAAAGTAATGTATACGCTTTTTATTCCGTACATTGTGTCATCCATAGGACCCATGTGAAGGAAAGACGCATTTTACAAATGTTCTCAATTGCAGATGAACTTCCATTCGACTCTATACATAAGCAGGAAGCTTACCAAACTTCGTATCCTCGCAATACTGTATGCCTATTTAGACATATTCTAGGGACGGTAAGGTGTATTCGTTCGCTGATTTTTCTTTTTCTCATTTGAAAAAGGCAGAAATTACCTCTAACTGCGATTAGATTATGGTCAAAATGCACCTCGTACAACTTGATCATCACTTGACGAACAAAATAAAAGGTTTCTATATCTAAAACAGTCTACTTAATACTATCTATGCCTCCTAGTCAAAGAACTATCCTATTTGGTGCGATTACGACCCCAAGTCAATCGCCTTCGTTCTACCTAGTAAGTGTGGTTCGCCCGCAAAATAAGAAGAAGAAGAAAATAGGTATACGTAAAAATTGGGCGATCCTAGACCGCGGAAACCTCTTTTACAGTAGTCTGGAGGATGTTGAGTCACAGCACGAGCATAGCACCAAAAAGATTCAAAACTATACTAAATAACATTTGGAAACTGAAATGAGTGATCGTGATCTGAAGTCTTTAAACCTATCTTTATTTTGAATCTATTTTCTATAATTTGACAGATCAAGTGATCGATTTTTGACACAGATTTATTTATTGATTGATCGATTCATAGGTCAAAGAGGTGAGTGACAAGGCTGGAACAAGTACATTTGAAAATCGATAAGGAAAGCTAGAATAATCAAACATGTAAACGAGCTAATGATAAGAGCTGTTCGGCATGTCTTGGTTATAAGAAGATTGGTAATTGTTTACCTGGACAAGGCTCTTCGTTGCAAGGACGAGTAAGTACACCTTCCCCGGAGCAATCTTTTCCTCCGTGAGCGGGTGGGGGATCTGTGCAGGTTCTATAACGATTCTGTATTCCTCCTCCGCACGTTACTGGACAAATTTCCCATGGTTTCCACTCGGTCCAACCTCCATCAACTGTTGAATAAAACACATGACTGTTTCTAAAACTTAAAAGTTTCACATGGCCACAATCTCTTAGCCTGAGTTCAGCCGCCGTTTATTCTAAACTCCGTCTGAGCAACAGCGCACGATTTCTTGTGTGAGAGTGTACGCCGATTTGAGTACGCGCTGTGATTGGCCCATTCTTACGTGCCATCTGATTGGTCATATATCTCGGATCCAGGTCTACTCAAGTGTCATGATGTTTGTTTTGAGTCGTTTCACGTGTTTCTCACCCCTCACCTAGCTA